AGCAAACATTTCTGTGATTAAATCCTCGGAGCCTCTGTGTTCAGCACAGCAGGTACCTTCCCCCTTCTCCCAGAACATCCCTGGGCAGCAGCAGCCACAGGGCTACGTGTCCAAGCCTTGCTCTGGTTTAAGGCATGGAAATGTGGTCATTATGGCACTAAGAGGAAGCAGCAATCTACTCCTGTGAGCCAAGGGCAAGTGTGAAAATCCAGTTAGAGATCAGCCACTCGGGTTTGTCCATACAGAGTGAAATAATCAAGCAATAGATCGTGAACAAATGATATTTTGTTGGGATTTCTGACCCAGATTTTGGCAATCCCAGCCAGGTGAGAAACTCATGATGTCAGCTGCTACCAAAGGGTTTTTGGGTGGCCCTAAGGGTTGTACCAGCACTACAACAATAAATTATCTCGTTGTGTGACTCCAGGTGAGACTGTACCATTTTCTGTGTCACCTTTCTATGTCTGTAGCAAATGGAAGTGCTCTGGTAGGGTCAAGTTGGCACAGGTGAGAGTCACATATTGTGCAGTGCTTTTCCTGCATTTCCTTACTTCCCAAACCTCAGCTGCAGCACAACTCTAGCCCACTTTATTTTCTTAAACGAACCAAGGGTGAATATGCAGCAACACAAATCCCAAAATACCATCATGCCACTCCCCTCATGTGGAAATATGCCATGCCCTGATGTCGGGAGGTCACTTTTATTTTCATGAACTCTTTGCAGCATTTCCAGTGGGATTATTTTTCCCTTGATGATCGGAGGCTGAGAGGCAAATCCAGTGAAAGAAACAAAACCAAACTGTGACAACTTTCTGCTGCAAGCAAAGGCAAATGCACTTTTGACAGTATCCCAAGTTACGGGTTTTTCCCCTTGAAAATGTCTATAGGCACGTTTCTGATCCCAGGACTGGAAATACGTCATGAGAACATAGTCAAATATGCATTTGCATTAACACTGCTGCCAGAAGCCATCTCACAGCCATCAGCAGACATGCTGGAGCCCCTAGAAAGCTTTCTGTGGGATTGGAAGGCATCCAGGCAGGAGAAAGCAAAGCCACCATGTGATTGGGATGGCCAGCTCCACAGGAAAGCTGTACATTAATGTGTGCAAGCACTCAAAGCAGGAGTTAGGCTGAGGAGCTTGCAAAGAAATCACTGGCTGAGAACCATCATGTGCATAAAATATTTGATAAATGAAAATCTGAAAGAAATCTATGTAAAAGTGATCCACTGAAAGAAAACAGGCTGATTTTACAGCAAGAATTACCCATGTAAAGCAGTGCTGCTGGCTGTAATAAAGATCACTGGAATACGAGTTGCTCACCCAGCCTTAAAGGATGTGTACCTCAGGCTCCAAAAGGACACTGTGAGGACTGTGAAAAGAATCTATTTTACTCTTTGTGTATGAAATTGTCAGAAGAAACCAAACAGCAGTGCTGGGTATTGGGGCTTGTCTCTATTTTTCACCAGATGACTTTTACCTTATGATTCCCCCTCTAACCATAAAGTGAGGCTCTGGCCACCCACTCCCTCCCAGTCCTTCCCAGTTCAAATTCGGATCATGTAGGTGTTAAGCAGAATGTGCAGCTACAAACAGAACTAACAGCTCTCCGGGGCTCAGCCACCCTTCAAAGGAACAAACCTGGAGGTATTTAGGGCCCTTTGCAGAGTTAATGTCTAAGAAGGTGTGCAGAGGCACAGGTGAGGGACTGCCCGAGGGGAGGGTGCAGAGATGAACAATCTGCAGGCACAGGAGCTCCCCAAACACAGCCCTCCCCAGCAGGAACAACTGCAGGAGACAGATGAAATGATGAAAAATGAAGGGATCAGCAGAAATCAGACCTAATAGAAACCCAACTCAAATAAACTCAGCATGGCTCCCGTGGCTCATTCAAAAGCAGCTCTTCTCCAGTGAACTCAGCTCAGGGGAAAGATGGAATGGAACTTCCCCTGCTCTGTGCCTTTAGGAGCCACTGGCAGCTCTGACTGGCAATGGGGAGAGCTTCTAAAAGGGAAATACTGAAGATTGCAACTCTACCTCCTACGTTGCATCACAGGAAATGTGACATCTCCAGCCAGAAAGTGTAACTGCTCCTAAATCCTGGGATTCCGAATTGGAAAGAATTAATATTATTTTCATAATTGATGTGAGGTCAGAGCTGTGTGTGCTTGCCTGAATACAAAGCCAAGCAGTAGTTTCTACATAAGAAAACGTACAAGTCTGTCATTATTTATTTTTAAAACTGGAATGAAGATGCTTTGACTCTGCATGTGTAGAACAGAATGAGATCAGGAGGCTCAATGCTGTATCCCTGGGATGATGGAAGCAGAGCATTCTATTGCACAATTAAACTGAGTTGTTTGTAAATGATTTATGTGCTTCTTAACATGTGTAGAAACTTATGCTACAGGACATCAACACTGGGGTTTTTCTTTTTCTATGTCAGCATCAGATCACTACCAAAGAAATTCAAGGCTATATTTGATCATTTAATTAACATGCTCGTTAAACCTCAGCTAAAACAAGAGGACAACAGAGAAACTGAATGTGGTTTAGGATTCAAAAATATTATAATAGTTGATCTGGGTGAAGAAGGTTTTTTGGCTATAGCAGACAGTTGAGAAACATGTCAAATTGCTTCTACTGAATAGTCAAAAATATCAGAATATTGAAAGTTACAGACTATTCAGTCAGCAAAGCACATGTGATAGTGCTTGCTCGTGCCTCTCTCCATTGTCTTTTGCACAGTCCTTAGAACAGGAGTAAAATATTGCCTGGCTCCACAAGTGTTCTCCATGAATTTGCAGCTCTGATGGGAGTTCAGAAAAGAACAGAAGGCATTTTATTGCTGGAAAGCAGAGAGCCAAGTTGATCTGGGATTCTGTTCAATCCCAGAATTGAATCAAACCTATTCCTCCACATTTATTACCATTAATAAGGGGAGATGTGGCCCAAGACCTCAAGGAATCAGGCAGGAGCTGCTGTGGCTCCTTTTTTTCTGGTACCTGAGAGACTCCTCCAGTCTCTAAGGCTGACACTGACCCAAAGAATTGCTTTGTTCTGATTTAATTTTTTTTTACCACCTATTTTGCTACATTTAACAGTTGAGAGAGCAGAGATCATGAGCTTGTCACCTCTCCTGCTACTGGTAGTAGGCAGAGTGGAAGGAGGTGTAAGACTGTGGAGTGAACTGGCTCCTGTGTGACATGTCTGCAGGGAATCAGCATTGCCAGCAGGCTCTGGGAACAGCAGTGATGTGTTTGGATATCACTTGTTTTTAATTGCTATTATTGCCATTTCTATCTTCTGTTAACACTCCTCTGACATGAGCCCTTTTTTCTTAATCCATATGACAGCAGTATTCATGTTGCCAAAACACCCCAGAAAGCTGCACTTACTTCAGTCCTCTCTGCATAAATGCACTAATAGTTGAATTTCCTGGAAAAGACAGCAAGGAATTGCCTGTTTATCTGCTCCCAGATGAAGTTAGTGCTGCCATGTGCCAGCCCAGGTCTGGGAACACCGATCAGATCAACAGCGATGCCCAAGGGCAGCTGGTGGCCACACCCCAAAGTGTTTGATCTAAAAAATTAAGGAAGGTCTCAATTCATAAACTCCTGATGCCCAGGGCTTGTACATGGTGGTCCAAGGGTCCAGCCAGGGCTCAGACCTGAGGCAGGAGTGGGAGCTGTGCTCTGAGCTCTCGGGCACCTATGGACAAGCAGAGCCCTCCCCCAGTCCTGGGCTGGTACTGGTTACCTGCTGTCACCTCCTTCTTTAACTGGGAGTTTTCAAGAGTGTCCTGTGGGACCAGAAATTTAAATCCATCTGTTCAGAGTCTGTATGTGCAGTCTTTACTAGTGCACTGGGATAGTGACCTGTTCAGGAAACCAAATTCCATGCCAAATGCCCCAGGGACCTGCAGGAAGACAATTTTGGAAGCAGGATCATTTTCAGACAGAAGCCAGCAGGATTGATTAAAGGCATTGATTTTCCATCAGGGTTCCTCTCCTTAATTCCACATGGCTTGGGGAAGGAAGATGTCCAACAGGAACTCTTAATTTCTATATTATTTTCATTATAATTTGATTAACACAGATAGGGAAACTTCATGTCTAGGATGCCTATCTGTGAAAAGCCTGTACAATATAGAGGCAACTAACTCAGATGAAGAAAAATTGTATTTAAAAAATGCTTTTGCTTAAGAAAAAAAAAATAGGAAATGGAACCACGTCTACCTAGTAGCACCAGGTCAGGATGATTAGTGACACAAGCCAGAGAATCATGTCCTTGTAATACCCACACATGATGGATGGCCTCTGCAGCTGGAGCAAGTGAGTCAAACTGACCCTTGTTTTTACATGGTTGGGCTGCTTTCCCTCCCTAAAAAAAAAAAAAAAAAACCAAAAAAAAAACCCACACCCAACAAAACAAACAAACAAACAAAAAACCAAAAAAAAAAAACCACCCCAAAACCAAAAAAACAAAAGTCAGCTGTCAGGTACCAGCAAGCTACAAAATTAATTGATGCTTTTTAGGGCATGGTGACCCACTGGAATGAGCAGGAGTGACAACGGGCTGCTTTTAGAGACTTTGCATTTGGCTGGAAATCACATGCCTCTGTTGTTACATAACTTCAGGGATGTAAGGTGGCATCTTGCCTCTGTTTATGGCCATCACACTCCCCCTAAGATTGCATCTTATCTGCTATTTTGTATTCTCATATACTTTTCAGTCACTCTACAACTCCAATTACAGTGCTTTCTTCCCTCCTTTAAGGAGAAATTGTTCTAGTCTTATGCAAAAAAAAAATCATTACATGATGCATAAAAAAGAACCACACATCTGCATTAATTTTCTTCTGTGCTAATATGTCACAATGCTCATAACAAAGGTGAGCATAAGGAACTTACACTAAGTTTGGACTCCTTGGGGAGGTGTGAAGATACAAATTGTCTCAGAGTTTTTGTGCCTCTAGTCCAGTCCAGGCAGGCTGGGTCAGTGTGTGGTAAAGGGGACAAGAAGTACCTGAATTCCATCTTCTCACAGGAAACACAGGCTAGAAGAGAACGAGCTGGAGGGAGCAGGTGAAGTTCTGCTTCTCCTCTTGTCTTGCTGTAAGTCCCTGAATCTGTGGCTGCCACTGCTCATGGCTCAACATCTCCTTCAGGAAAGCATTAGGCCAAAGAGGATTCAGCTCCCCAGAGAATGCAACTGCTGCTGGTGACTGACAGGTTTGCTCAGACTCCAAACATACCAGGATTTTAGTGCCGGGGAGGTGAGAGCTGCAAACAGTGCAGAATATCTCATTCTCAGGGCTGCTGGTTGGTAAAAATGCAAAATACTGCATTTGACATAATCTTGCTCTACCCCAAACTTAGGAACCAGCACTGTCAAAAAAGTGGCTGTGACCTAGATTAAATTAATTAATCCAAGTGAAGAAATAAAAACAAAAGAGATGATCCTTGTATTCTTTTCTCAACAGTTGGATTTCAGCTCGAGGAAGGCTCTAGGCCACATCAGTGTCTGCTACAAGCAGATGTGTTCTCTTTGGAATACATGCACCCACTTATGCTCTGCCTGCATTAAGGCTGTTACTGGGTTTTTGGGAGCTTTGGCAAGTGCTCTCTGTTAATATCTGAAGGTGGGAGTGTTCAGGGAGTTGTCGGAAAGGCTTGCAAGACTAGATCTGATCATACCCACCCACACTAATTAACACATTACATAAAAGTACAACAAGTTTCTCTTTGCAAACATCAGAATCACTTGCCCAGGCACTTTCTGTGCAGTTCTAGAAGAACTTGAGGGACAGACTCTGTTGCTTTTTAACCTCAACAGAACAATGGGTGAGTGGAGAGGGCACAGCTCCCATTTTCAGGGCCCACTTCTTTTTGTCATGCTGCTAAAAACATGCCATTGGCAGGGACATGGCTGGAACAACCTTTTTAAAGTTCACCAAGGGTACATGAGGCTGCACTTTTTTCTCATCAAAAACCACACAAAAGGAAATATTGAACATGAGGGATCAGATTTCTATACAAAGGACTCCTCCTCTCCCTGCCCTGCCTTGCTAATTCTGAAAATCACTTTGTATAAACAGCAGCCCTTGAAGCCACCGTGAACTAAAAAAATCCTCCCATTTAAATTTGGCTTTTCTTCTTTTTTTTTTTTTTTTTTTTTTGGTCAGGGGAACATGTCGCAAACCAGCTCATGTTTCTCTATCACTCAAATTTTAAACCAGCAGCAATAATCCTGTATAAGAGCTGTAGTGAGGACTCTTTTACTTCTTTACTTCTTCAGAGTTTGGAGCAAGTAAAACTAATTTCCTATGACACTCGTGTGACCTGCTCCTGCAGCTTCACCTGGATTCCTCCAGCAGGATAATAAATGGATACCCCAAACTCGATTTACACCAGACTCTCCTATGACATCTGGCTTCAAGATGGTGGCACAGAAAAGTGCAGTGATGACATAGGAAAACAGAAGGAAAAAAAAAATAATTGTGCAGTGGAGAGCAGGAGGCAGCGGAGAGAGCAGGGAAAATCAAAATTAAAGTAAATCAAAGGGCGGAAATTCCTCAGAGAAGGCCTTAGGCTTCAACAAAGCTTGTCCACATTTGCAGCACTTCAAGATTACCCAACAGTGCCCTTCTGTGGGAAGGTCCCAGCAGAGCTCAGCAGGCATTCCAGAGGAGCCTTTTTATTAAAAAAAAACTCTTCAGTGTCTCCATCCACGTTTGCAGCCCCTTGCTCGATGGAGCCCGTCCTGTCTCACAACACTCACACCAGGGAAGGAACTCTCTTACCCAACTCTTCCCTGCTATCTGAAAAGCAAAGTTAATGTTTTCCTCATTATTTTCAGTTTGCTGCAACCCTCTCCCCCACTGTGACTGCTATTTGACCCGCTGTCCGCTCCGGGACCCCGAGGGAAGGCAGAGGGAGTTCTGCGCATGGGAGGAGAGAGATGATCAGGCTCAGCTACCTCCTGACTTGTTTATATTATTCTGGGATTCTGTGATACTCATCAGAAAGCAATCAACAGCACTTCGTGTGTAAAGCAACTCTGGAGATAGTGAACATTTTTTGTGTGGTGCAGGGTAAGAGCACATCTATTTAAGGGACGGGATTTGGGGATGAACAGGGATTCCAGTGTGTGTTTTTACCTCATTTTTGCATTAGGAAGTCACCAATAAACAGAATCTCAGCACAAAGGTTTAATTTCAAGGGGACACTGCTCTTTCACCACAGTTGATTGCACTTGCAGCTACAAGCCTGGCACACCCAGCTGGGATTAATGAGAAACTGGAATGGATCAGAGAGCACCAGGGGAAGTTCCTCTCTCAGACCTCTCCTGATAAACCTGGTACCTTCAGGATTCCAGGCAGATCCTGGAAGAGTTCTCCCCTCATGGCACTTGACCTTTCAGTGAGATGGGCTTCTCAAAAACAAAAAAAAACTGACAAAAAATAAAGCTGGAAGCATCTATTAGGGCGGGTCTCAAAATCACAGAGATTGAAGTTTCTTTGCATCCTCTCCAGACATGCAGGAATTCCAAGGAAAACTGCATTTACAGAAACATGTTCAGAGGTGTCACAGTGCTCCAGGTTGTAGTTCTGCACTGACTCAGGCAGGAGAGCCCCTCCAAACACTGCCCCAGGCAGAGGGACACCAAGAGTGGCACTTCTGGCAGCATCTCCCTCCTGGAGAGCCCCAGAAAGGAGAAATCCAGCGGGTCTGCAGCAAGGTCAGACCTGATTTTAACATTCACACCTTTGCATCTCAGCAGCAGGTCTCCATTCTACAGGGCAGAACCAAAGGAGTATTTTAAACAGAGCTCACAGCTTTTCTGCTGTACCTCAGAAGTATTTTAGGAGATGACAAACTGGGGCATATGGGTTTTTTCCTCATCTAAATTTTTGTATAGAACCTCTTGGTCTATGAACATACACTGCTTTCCCTTTCTATAACATGTTGCATTTGAATTTGCTGAGCTTTTGATAGATATTTAGGTAGTCAGACTTGCAATTTTGAGGTAGGGAAACACTAGAAATATCTGCTTTGCAGGTCAGGGTGCTCCTTCAAATGATGCATTTTGCCCCAAGCCATACAGGACATCTACAGAAAAGCTCGAAATTCGAGTCAGGAGTCCTAAATTCACTCCTTTAATCACACATCCACCCTTGAGGCACTTCATTCAGGTGTCTCCAGTAGGACTTGCTGTATTGGAATTACATTAATTTCTCTGTTAGTAGTGCTCCAATGTGCTGCTCACTGCATTTTGCATAGGAATGCAGCGCTGCCCTTCCTAGGCTGTCAAAGAGAATATTTCATTACAAAAATAAATAATGTCTAGCTGTTCTGGCACCTCAGTCCAAGCATATTTATCACTTTTGGCTGATCAGTGCCTGATTCAATGTCCCTAAATCACAATGGGTTTATTCCCAGATGAATTCAAAATGCATTTAATCAGGTCTCTGCTAAATGTGCTCCCGAATTTCACATCTCATAGCACAACAGCACTGTCTCTTAGAGCATTATTCCACTTCACTGTGCAGGTTGATACAATGGATTTTCCCCTGCATGGATTATGTCAGTGAACGTATGTTTGTACAAGCAGGCTCTAGTTTGAGTTCTAGATTTAGTTCATCCCTAATGTGCTGCTGCCTACATTTGTGGCAATCTGGGATTAACACTAAAAATATATTTATATTTTAACAGAAATGAACAAAAAAAACCAAATCAGAATGACAATTTCACATGTGAGTTCAGTGACAGAAAGAATCTTCCACTACTTAAACTCCCAGCCCTGCTGCCTGAGCCTTCCTGTCCAGCCTCCCCAGGGGAAGTACAACAGCTTTTTTGGGCCCAGAAAGAGAAGTCCTGGGTGGCCTTTAGCAAAGAAAACATTGCTTCATGGTTTGCTCCTTCCCCAGTGTGTGCTGGAACAGCTTCATCATGGGATGGCAAGTGAAGAAAGAGAAGGAAGCGTCCATTAAGTGTCCATATCTTGTAGTTCTTCAAAGTAATTCTGCAGTTCCCCATTCAAAAAGCTGAACTGAAAGCAGTGGCAGTTCCTCTGCAGAGAGGGCACAAAGTGTGCTTGGGATGGGATGTGCTGCCTCTCCCCTGACACAGCCCACAGACACTTAAGAACCAAAAATCACATCTTAAAACTATGAGTAGATTTAACAATTGAACTCTAAAGAATTAAACATCATAGAAACATTTCACACTTTGTTTTTTTCTTTCCAAGGGTCCATAGTCCACTCACTCAATCCTGTGCAAAGGTCATGTTACTATGGATATGACCTGCAAGAAATGTGTTGCCTCAGAGCAGCACAAGTCACATGAACAGGCTGAAAGCCAAGACTGGCTGATTTACAGTCCTGTAGGATTTTCATGCTTGTGCTGGGTTCACTGCAGAGCAGTCCTTGTGCCAGCCTATGTTCGTCCTTTAAAAGTGTTCATGCACGTGTAGCTCCCAGAAAACTTGTGGATTTCTTCAAGTGCTGCCTGGGGAAGAATGCTGGTGTGGAAGCAGAAAGAAAAGGAGCAGATGAGACAAACCCCTCAATCTGTTCTAAGGAGAGATATGTAAATATGCATTTATGGACATAAATACACAAATGTTCAAAAACCAGCTAGTGAGAGACACAGACAAAAACTGGCATCAGTTTCCTGCTGTGGGGAGGCTTACAGGGAGAAATTTCCATTCAGTCACTCTTTCTCTACAGAAATATTTATCCAAAAAAGTCCGTAAAAACTGTACCTTGGAAAACACCATTATGTTTGATTCCTTCTAAATACTATACTCTGATATATACAGGTTTAACCTGAATTCTCTGGTTAACCTGGCTGTGCAGGGCATGTGGCCTCCTTATCCTGAGGTATGCATAGAGACCTGATTTCCTGACAGCTACTGTAATGGGAAATAATCTATTAATTCTTACAATAAAATGGAAAAGCCCTTTTTCTTGTTGACAGAATTTCAGGGAACTTTTACTCCAAATTTTACATTCAGAGCAAAGCATTTATTGTGAATTATTTTTTCTTGTTTGAAATGCAATACTGAAATTATTTTCCACAGAAGTCTTATTGCCTTATTTCAGTTCCTGACTGCAGCAGCTTTTCCAAAGGCTTTAGTACAAACTGTCATGGAAACACAGTGGTGAATGTCCTTTCTCTGTGGTTCTTCCAGGATATGAAATTAGGATTTTTTTTCCTTAGGGACCTTAAAATTTCAGTCCTGATCATACACAAAAATATTGATTTAATAGTTTCACTGATGTAACACAGGCAATGCTCTCTAAATGCAGGTGGGATGTCCAGGCCTTATGGTTCAGAAATCCTGCACAATAAAAAGCCTGGAGTTCAAGAAATTACTTAATAAATCCCAATCAGCTAGCTGTGTAAGTTAATTATTATGAAATTCCCTAGACAAAAATCCAGTTTACACTTCAAGAATCCAAATTTTGGTAACAAAACTGGTTTCATCAGGGGTTATACAAAGAGAAACCATCTCCAAAGGGAATTTCATAAAGTGTCTCCCTTTTGCTTCCATGACTTTCCTTCAAGGGAAGAGATGAGAGAGCAGTTCCAGCCAGCCTGAGCTTTGCCTCAGGGCACAGACACAGAGCCAGCCCTCCCTGCAGGGCCAGGCTGCTGCTGGGCAGAGGAAATACTCACCTTTTTAGGATAACAAGAACGTGCATCGTCCATGGAAGGAGCAGGAAGGCTTGATTCATCTGAACAGCTTCCACCGTCCTCCTCGCCACTGTCTCTGGCTTCAGGGGAGGAAAAAGACTAGGGAACCTGAATAAAGAAAATAAAATAATTACAGGTGAGCCAAGCTCCTTCTTTAAGGTGTCCAAGTCCTGTTACTCTAAGTTGTTGCTGGTAACTGGCCTTCAAACATGCCCAGGACAGGCTGTGTCTCTGAATTCCAGTTCCAGGCAAAAAGCCCAAAAGAGAGCCCAGTTCCAACTAGAACTACTGGGTTAGCTAAACAGTTAAGAATGTACATGTTGGTGCCCTTAGGGAGAAGTGGCTGAGAGTAATCAGAGCCCTGATTCAGGGCTTTTCTTAATTTGAATGCAAACCAATACCAAATGCTGTCTATTCAGTGATGGTGTTTTTCCTTCTACTCTCTTTTCCTCTTTGCTTGATTCAAATCCTTGACAGGTGAAAGACAAATATTTTCATCCATTGCTTTTAATACCAAACCTAAGGCTTTTCCCACCTCCTGCAATAGCTTGACACTGCAGATTTTCTTGACTAAGAGAGCACAGTCTTTATTAAAGGTTATTTTACCCATTGTAAAAGATTAATTTGGACAGCCATTACTTGTTCTCTTGGACAGGGGTAAAAAGGAGGTACTGATAGTCTCACTTCAGTAAGTAGCTGTCACTCCTTTCGGTGGGAAAGGATTAAGTATTCTAGTGAATAAAGAAGGAACTTGTACTGCTAATTCTCAAGTAATTTATAGACTGGTCCTTTTGCATGACCTCGATTGCAGATAGCTTCCCCTCCCTCTCTGGTATGGCTCGAACACATGCAGGGAAAAACAGCTTCCAGTTCTCTCAGCAGCAGCCAATGTCTCCCCCAGCTCAGGGTGGTGCAGGAATATCCCAGCACACCGAGGGAACCAGTCTGATGAGTCCCAGGTGGCCTAAAGTGACCCTCTGTTCCCAGGCAGCCAAATGAGACATCAAATTCTCTTAACGAAACGAAGCATTAATTAGGAGTGTATTCTGATGATTCATTTAAAATGAGATGCTTTATTCTAGCTGCCCCGGACTGACCTGATTCTCATGCCCTGGAACATCTCTGTGCTGGTGTGGAAGGGCAGGACTGTGGTGGCATTCACTCCAGGACAGTCCAGCAGCCCCAGGGTCAGGCTCTCCATGAAGGCAAAGGATGAGGCTTTGGAGGTGCAATAGTCAATGGCACCAGGGATGGCTGACAAGGCCAGGACAGAGTTCAGGCAAACAATGTGCCCATTCTGGAGCTCCAGCATCCTAGGCAGGAATGCTTTGGTGGTCTGAAGAATAAGAGAGTTAAAAGAAGAAGAAAAAAAAATTTGCTTAGCAGTGATACAACAAAAACAGCACCGACTGAAAAAAATAGGGTGACACAGACACAACAAGCCCAAGTGTTCCTGTTCATTATGTGATGAAAGGAGGGGAGAGGACCTTGTTGTTTTGTCATTTTCTGAGGTTCTAAGTGGGCAAAGTTTGTGTAGAAACACAAGAAAAGTCTTTCCCAGCACATAAATAAGCAGTACTCCCCAGATAAAGGCCATGAACAGAGTGCCTTCTAGGCTTAAGAACTTTTACAGGATAAAGTGTTCAACTAAGTGATGAAATCACAAGCAGCTCTTTTTCATTTCTATTGTCTGATTCAAAATGGACTGAGTTTCACAGCTCCCTTCCCTGTAGTCCCACACTCCTCTGATGTTCCCTTCACATCACCATACAGGAAACTCCTCTGTGAGCTCAGACTTTGACAAAGACATCAAATGTTTTACTGGAAATCACAGAATGGGAATAAAGAGCATCAAATACTGAGCACTACTGAAAAAATTATGTTCATTTTTGACCTCTCTCCTCCAGCCTTTGCCCCTTACATTGTTTTTTCTCTCTTGTTTTCAAGACAAACTGGTTTTACCAAGCATCTGACTGTCATCTGTCACTCTACACTGGACACAAGAGCTTCTCTCACCCAGAACTGTCCCAGGGTGTTGATGTGCTGGGATTTGAGCAGTGCATCGTCGTCGCTGTCCATCAGGCTCTTCCCATGAACCACAGCAGCATTGTTCACCAGGATGGTGATGTCACCCACCTGCAAAAAAAACCTTGTCACAAATGGTATCTCTCCTCACAAACCAGCCATTTCCATTAGAGCTGAATAGCCATTATTGCCCAAATTTCAAGTAATGATTGCCCAAATCGTTATTTTCATTGTGTTTGACATTCTTGCCTATGGGCCTGGTAATCCTTCGGATCACCTCATATAGGTAGCTGGACTTTGTGCAATCTTATCTGCATGGTCACCCTTCTTTTTCCCCAATATATTTTTCTCTCATCAAATACTGAATCACAGAACCACAGAATTGTTAAGGTTGGAAAAGACCTTTGAGATCATCAGTGCAGCTCCACCACCGTGTTCAGCACTAACCCACGTCCCCAGGTGCCACATCCACGTGGTTTTTGAACACTTCCAGGGATGGTGCCTCCACTACTGCCCTGGGCAGCCGATTCTGATGCTTAACAACCTTTTTCCATGAAAACATTTTCACTAATACCCAATCTAAAACCTCCCTTGGTGCAACTTGAAGCCATTTCCTCTCATCCTGTGCCTGCTCCCCGTGAGCAGAGCCGGACCCCGCTGGTGGCACCCTCCTGTCAGGGAGCTGTGCAGAGCCAGAAGGTCCCTCCTGAGTCTCCTTTTGTTCAGAGTGATGCCCCCAGCCCCTTCAGCCCCTGCCAACAGCGTTGTCCCAGACCTTCTCCCTCACGGCCTTGGCTTGCCGATAGACTTCCTCGCGGTTGCCCACGTCACAGATGAAGTAGTGGCACTCTGTCCCCATCATCCTGATCTCCTCCGTGGTCTCCTTCAGGCATTTCTCAGTCCGACCCCACAGGATGATCTGCAGCAAGAAACTTTTGTTAGTCAAACTGCTTCTGTTTCGTATCTAAAATAATTAAAACATGCTTCTGACTTCAGCAGCTTGATGGGAATCTTTGATGTGCTTTCACTGTTGTTTTGCTTCATTTAAGAAAAGCAATGACTTTCTGTTAGATGGGGAGTATCAAGTGGGACCTGTGTTCCAGTGCTGATCCTCTGTTTACAGATTCTTTACAAGCAACACAAGCTAAAACAAAAACTCAGACCTTAAGCCTAATGTGACTGGTATATGGAATGTTTGGAAATTTTTCTGCATCATGTCACTTCAAATCTCTCCCTGTTTTTGCTATACACTACAGAATGACAAATTTATCCTAAAACCACAGACTTTCCTGAATATCTGGTGTGTTCTCTACTTCTTGTTTTACATGTGGAGGTAAAATCTGCTCTGCAGTAAAATGTGTTTTTTCAGCCTAATTATTATTTGCCATGCCAATTGCAGGCTGGTGTCTCAGGTGCATTTCAAACCAGTGTTCGTCCTACAACAGACTTCTAAAGTGAGAAATTTCAAGCATATGCAGCATTTCACTTGCCTTTAAACACAATAAAAATTAAACATTGCTTTTTGTACAAAGAGAATTCGGAATATTTATAGAACAAACATTCAAATAATGGAGCATGGATCTGATTTACAATGAGACATAACCAGCCAGCCCTGTCTGCATTTCTACACTATCAGTGAGATCAGAAATAGAAATAACTTGAAAAGTCACCAGGTTCATTAACTTTCATCATGGGGCTTTGTCCAGTGCAATTCTTTCTACTGAGGCAAAAACATCAATTTTGAGATGGGGCTTCCACCACTGTCCTTCAAAACATTAATCTGCAGCTAAACAGATGTAACCACAGTATTTCTTCTGAGCACACAACCTTATTTGCTATTTTTTAAGGCTACAGGAAGGAATATAATTTCATCTCTGTTACTTAAGACATCTGTGAATTAATAGATCTATGGTTTTTGGTCTTTAACTAAGTCTTCTCAACACTTATCATGTTATAAATGGTGAGTCACTGTTGTTCTGAAAAAAAATAAATTACTGAATGGAGCATGTTACTGCAATCAGCTGACTGTTCTGTGACTCTAAGAGCAAGATCCAAAAGAGAGAGAAGAAATGGTTGCTACATTGAAAATGCAAAATTAAGGTGCAATTTCCAAGCACGTGTGATCCAGGATTATAGCTCCTTCTCACACTACTGTGTACTGAGTCTCTATGAATCTGACCAGTATATTGATTTTTTTAATGGTTAAAAATAAGCACACTTACACGTCAAAGATTAAAGAATCTCTGCTGTTTTCTGAAAGTTGAAAGAACAGAATGAAAAAGGTCTGAATTGCATCACACCTTAGATCACTGCTCAATCCCTGCAATTAACTTAATAACAGCAATATAAACATTAAAAAAATATGTGTGCAGTATTCTTACCCCACAGCAAATCCCTGACAGGGAGCTTTAACATGCTTATTTTTAAGGACCAGCTAAGCTTATCTCATAACTGGTACTAAAACTAATCTCTGGCAGGGTCAAAGAGCTCTTTAGTATGCCCGAGCAAGGCTAAAATGCAGAAATACCCAAATCCTCAACCACTTCCTAAACAAGTTACATTTACAATTAATCCCATTTCCATGTCCTTGGCACATCTGTGAACACAAACACACCCAGACTGATAAGATTTATATCCTGGAATTCTCCAGAGCACTAGCAAATCTGGTTAACTAGAAACTTCAGAGTGTGCATAAATACGCCAGAGCCATTTCATGGGAAATCTTATCTCAGGGGAAGTAATTTTCAAGGAAAAAGCTGTGATCACACTTAAAAACTATAAGAAAGCATATGGCTGAAATTGCAGCTTGTGCACTGGCCTGGCTTCTAAAGTCTCAGCCTATCACCCTTGGCCATCAGGGCTTGGCATCTCCTCAAAGCTTGTAAAACTGATGGCTATTTACTCACTTCTGATCCCAGGGCTAGACCGAGGAATATTTTTCATGTGTACACTGCAGACTTGAAGGGAAATCAGGACCATGTGAGAAATTTCACAAGCTCTCAGGAAGTATTTACAAAATACTGTTCAGCTGCAAGCACATGCACACTTGCTCTCCCTTTCACAACCCACATGGCAAGGGGGAGGAAAAACCTCTGTGGAAAGGGGAGGAAAAAAAACCACCACAAAATATCAACGGCAAACATGGAGTTTGATGCCCACAGAGTTTTGCATCCGGGTGAACTTCACCCTCTTTGCAGGGTTGGATTAGTCAATGTGCACACTAAAAAATGAAGTGACTTGCTGAAGAGTGATGGAAGGTGGGACAGGAAGAGGAGAGAAAGAGAAATAAGGTGTCAGACAAGGAGAGTGTAAGGCAGGAAACTGTGCTCACACATCTAATACTCCAGCACTTCACACTGCTATCACTAAATAAAAAGTAGATCCCTCACTCTTCACTTCAATCTGTTTCAAACATCCATACAGCCTCCTATTCCCAGGAGCTACCACTGATGCATTGAATGTCAGGAAACATACATGGGAGAACAGTTAAGCAAAGGATAACCTGTCAAAGGAACATCTGTCTGTGATACAACTCTTGCATATACAATTTTTTTATGCCCCAACAGTTTCATTGAGACCTTTAATATCCTACAGGCAAGTCTTGCAAGGTGACCCCGTTAAAATCGGGGCCATCTGGGGAAGACAGAATTTGCTGTTTATCCTGCTGACAACATTAATTTCAACACTGACTTCTTTCCATGAGGACATTTCGTGTCTTTGATACTGTCCACACTCAGGTGAAGGCTTAAGCCTATGTAAGAGAAAGGCAGTAAATAAAAGACCATTCTTTTGTGAGAGGTCCCTGATGACCCAGTGGGAAGTGAGGGCTCCTGCCATCATTTCTGCTACTTTTTACAGATGGATAAAACTCAGAACTCAATACAATGTGCTTTTGGTCCAAATTCAAGCTTGACTGCTCCTATGAGATCATATGAGACTTTAAATTTCTCTCTTACATCTGGCCAGACTGAATTGGCACAGGCTTCCCCCCAGCCTCCAAGGACATCAGATCTTACAGCGAGACAAGTCTGGAGTTGCTGCATTTGTCTCACAGTTGAGGCTTCTGTTGCTGCTGAACATCTTTGGGAAGGGCTTGGTTTATAGTCTTTCTGCATAGGCAACACAGCAGTTTTCTGATGTTTCTGAGGTTTTCTAGGTCCTGAGATTTGCAACAAACTCCTCAGTTCTCTGAACAAACCCTGCTGCTCCCTGTGACCTGAGCCACTGTGGGCCTGGGGCTGTTTGCTGCTGAGCTCACCCAAACACTTGGCTCTTCACTTCCCTTGGGATGCAGCCCTTGGCATAAAGGAGTATTATTCTCTGCTCAGTACACACCAAGAAAGGCATCACTTCACCCTGCCCCAGCTGGGGTTCGAGGGCTCTGCATTAATCAGGAGTCCAGACCTGTGGTTTGGGAAATGGTCTGTTTTATTAGGAAGCACAATTTTTCAAATATAGACATGGGGCTCAGAGTCTGGTCTGTCTCCTCTTTCCTTTCTAAGTGCAAGGCTAAATTGGCAGTAAGTGTGTCCCAAATGGAAGCTGAGAATGACTCCAACAGACACAGAAGTTCCTGTCTGGACGGAGGAAAATGAGAAGGAATAAGGAGAGGCACTGTGTTCGTGATTTTCCAGCCTGTCAGGATGCTGCACAGCCACCCATTCACCGTAACTTAAAGGTGGACAGAGGAATATTTAATTTGCATTTTGGATAAATTCTTGGACAGACAGTTTTCCATCCTGGAAAGAATCCAGCCCTTATTTCTTCCCCTTCTTCATCTCTTGTGATCCTACCCTGCCTGCCTGTTCCTGCTGCAGCAGACAAGTTCTCCTTTCACAGAGTTACTGACCAGAGAAGTGGCGAGGGCAGGTGCCAGGGAGGTGGGTAATCCTGCTCCAAGGCTTGCTGCCCACGCTGGCCTCGGTGTGAGCCCAGGAGGCAGGTGGAATGGGAAAGCCATCCCTGACACTCCAGGCTGCTGGAGGCAGCAGGGCAGGATCCCACCCCTGGGCACAGGGAAAAAGAGATTTATGATGACGGAGGAACTCTACGTGCCCTCCTCCCCTTGATGAACTTCAAAGTAGGCAAGGGCTGTGACATCACACTTGGTGCAGATTTTCCCAGGATTTATTAATGGATTTTTTGCAAAACAAACCTTATCTGTTGATCTGGAGTCACAGAACTCCTTATCTGACTTTAGGAAAATCCTTTCAGCTGGAGGGGCAGGCACTGTGTCCTCTGCTCCCAGAGGATTAATTCTGGATCCTTTAACTCCGGATTTAATCTGCTAATGAGCCTGTCCCGAGGCCGGAGGGGAGTCAGAGGGAAGGGTTTTGCTGCTGCTGGACTAAGGCAAGGCTGAATAACACAGACCTGCACTGGCTTCTGCCAAAAGCCCCAGTCCTGCCTGCAGGGCCAAAGCCTGACTTTCACCATAACACAAAGAAGAGTTATGACCACTGCAAAATCAGATAAAGCCACTATTTTATATAAATTGCTCTAGACTGAAGCCACTATCAACCACAATATAAACATGTGATCAATGCTTCTAGAGACTGAAGGATATTACTAGTGCAGGACACAAGGTTAGAGCTAACTTAACATAATTTACAAGGCTTGTTAACTTGTTCAGTCCGATTTTACTGCTAGCACAATTAAAGAACAGCAGCCAAGGAATGCTGCCCTTTTACATCATCAATTATTTTGGCACCGTATCTTCAGCAAACCTGCTGTGCTAGAATTTCTGCCTCCAGTGAGCTGGAGCAGTACTGGGAAGGTGTCCTACCACAATTGCCACTATTGGGTTGTGTTTGAGTCAAGAATTATTCACTCGTGCTCTTTTACAGCACAAGGTGGGTTGTGATTAGCAGATACAACTTCCATTCTGAAAGCTTCTCCATTTTACGATTCACTAAGCAA